GACGAATATTAACCGGGATCGAAAAACTATATAGTTCTTACAAAATTCGGTAACGTGTTCCCTATGCTTTCGGAGGTTCGGGTTCGATCTTGTTAGAAACTCTTGTTTTGGTAAAATCTTTTCTTAATTTTCATTTACAATAGGTATGGAATTTTGAAATATCACCAGAATAACCCCGAATATGGTTAATACTTTTTAAATTAGATTAGCCAAACATCACCTATCAAATTATATGCTTTTCGGAATAAGAAAATACAATAAAACTGTGTAATTCCCCAATATAGGTAGATATTGGACAGCGGCATCGCTAATTAAAAACAAGAGACAGTAATAAAAATTGTTAAAACATAATTGAATCATTCCAAACGCGTACATACCTATAGTTTACCACCAGTGTATAAGAAATAATGCATATCAAAATGGAGTCCCCCTAACCTCCAACCAATGTCATCAAATAATGTAGGATTATTGCTAAACTTACCTTGAAATTTTGGAATCAAATCGTCATCTCCCATGCCTGAAGAAGGTCCTCCATTTTCACATATCACAAGCACAAACAATAACAAAACAACTTTATAATATTATAAACTACCTAGTCGGCGCGTCTAGTAACTAACCTATAAGTAAGAAGACGCTTTATTTTATAGTAGGTGATATTACACTTGAATAAAGTAATTATTACATGTACTCAAAGAATTTCTATACTTAATGCAATAATTTGCTAATTTACAAATAAGTATAAGTAGTACTCGAAACAAGATTTTATCTCGAATTGTCAGTAGTGTAGTTATAATCTTAATTTCAATTCTAGGTAAATCTTAAATAAAAGATAAATTTTCTTAGCTTCTAAGGATAAGGTTTTCTTGAAAAGAAGTATAACTAGATTTGCGGAATGGGGAAACTAGCATATCGTTGGTTCAAGATTAATAATCTTTAAGCCAGTTTAGCTTTTTTTCCGTGATAGCACTACGCTTCAACCGCCTATTATTACCTCAGGATTGTGAATCCCAAGTACTCATTTAAGGCTGAGTCGACCTAGGTACCCAAACTATTTTTATTTTAATAAAAAAAATTTTTGAGTCACCAGAATTATTTAATACTTCACTATCAGAATAAAAACGAAAATAAAATAAAAAAAAGTCTTTGCCCTGACCCGGATTCGAACTCTGAATCCTCGGTTCGGAGTCGGAAACTCTACGCACTGCGCTATGGAGACATGTTCGATTTTTATTCAATAGTACTAGAATTTATAGAACTAAATTAAAAAAATATATAGGATCTTCTTCCGATGCGCAGTAGTGAAAGCAACGGGTATCGGCAGCCAAACAGGCCGCATGCTGTTCTAGGAGCATAGTAAAAGATATATCAAAGAGCCAGACGTCTTAAAATACTTTCTCGAAAACGTTGCTAGCTCTTAGACTATAAAGTTTTTTTGCATTTGTTTTGGAACACCCTGTATAATTCGGTAAATATTCTTATAATTTTTCACCTTCGCATAACCTTATTATCCCGATAATCCGAGAGTTCTACCCCTTTAAACAAGGAAGCCGAAGAAAAAATTAATTTAAATCACAATCGGCCAATTTGGTCCTCACGGTGGGCGAGTACAAACACTCGTTATACATGTAAATATTAGCCGGCGACCATTTGCATATAGATTGGACTTTTTGTGTTTTATAATATTAAGCGTATTATACTTGTACAATTATATTTTTTTCGTTGGTGAACGAGGCCCTAGCTGGCGCGACGCGAAATTTGATTTTTCCAACCGATCGGGGTAAAATATTCCGAATTACAAATTTATTTCGTTAGGTTTTTTTACGATGGGAATGGAGAGAGAGGCCTATAAGATGTTGGCTAACCCCAATAGTTTCCAATATATCCATCCATAGCTTATTTCTCGTGACATTATCATATGCTTTCTTTATATCCACAAGTGTTATATGTATTTCTTCATTTTTTCTTATCTTTTTTTCTGCTATTTGTTGTATGACAAATAAATTGTCAGTACATGACCGACCTGGGGTAAAGCCATTCTGATCTTCGGATATAGAGTTTCCAACTTCAGCTCTTATTCTGTTTTGTATAATTCTTCCCCAGAGTCTCGTGAAAGTAGCAGTGACGCACAACCCCCTGTAATTATTTGGATCATTTCTGTTTCCTTTCTTATGCAGAGGTGAAATATATCCAATTTTCCACTCACTCGGTGTTTTTCTCTCTTGTAAACAATTATTAAATAAGCTTTTAATTCTCTCATATAGTGTTATCCCACCCCACACTTGATCATTTCAATTACAATATCTCCGGGTCCGGGTGCTCTTCCATTTTTCATTTCTTTAACCGCTTCTTCTATTTCTTCCGTTGTAATAGGTGTTGAGTTCTTATGTTCTGTGATATCTCTATATACATTATTTGCGTTGTTCATGAATTATTCTTCTCGATTTTCTGTTAATAATTGCGTGTAGTATTCTTTCCATTCCTCTATACTTATAAGAGAAAATGATTTTTCGTTAGTGTTTCTCTTCATATTTTTTATTGTTCTCCATACTTCAGTCGTACGAGCTCCTCCTATGTACGTATTTATTTGATTACATTTCCGCTCCCAGAATTCATTTTTGTCCTTTTTAATTTGTGTACGCACCTCCTTATTTGCATTTTTATATTCTTGTCTATTCGCTTCTGTTTTATTTGATAAATAATTTTTGTATTTCCTATTTTTTTCCTCAATGAGTTGTTTTACTTCTTGTGTTATGTACTCCGGTTGTTTATTTCTTACAGTGGTATATTCTCCTAATGTTTCTTTGTTTTGTGAATACAGCTTTTTATATTTTCATGTTCCTCTAATACTTTACTATCAGAATAAAAACGAAAATAAAATAAAAAAGTCTTTGACCTGACCCGGATTCGAACTCTGAATCATCGCTCGTGGTCGGAAACTCTACGCACTGCGCTATGGAGAGATGTTCGATTTTCATTCAATACTAGAATTTATAGGACTAAATTAAAAAAATATATAGGATCTTCTTCCGATGCGCAGTAGTGAAAGCAACGGGTATCGGCAGCCAAACAGGCCTCATGCTGTTCTAGGAACATAGTAAAAGATATATCAAAGAGCCAGACGTCTTAAAATACTTTCTCGAAAACTTTGCTAGCTCTTAGACTATAAAGTTTTTTTGCATTTGTTTTGGAACACCCTGTATAATTCGGTAAATATTCTTATAATTTTTCACCTTCGCATAACCTTATTATCCCGATAATCCGAGCGTTCTACCCCTTTAAACAAGGAAGCCGAAGAAAAAATTAATTTAAATCACAATCGGCCAATTTGGTCCTCACGGTGGGCGAGTACAAACAATCGTTATAAATGTAAATATTAGCCGGCGACCATTTGCATATAGATTGGACTTTTTGTGTTTTATAATATTAAGCGTATTATACTTGTACAATTATATTTTTTTCGTTGGTGAACGAGGCCCTAGCTGGCGCGACGCGAAATTTGATTTTTCCAACCGATCGGGGTAAAATATTCCGAATTACAAATTTATTTCGTTAGGTTTTTTTACGATGGGAATGGAGAGAGGCCTATAAACCTATAAAATAATATTGGGCTCGGGAATTTAATCGCTACCGACATTTAAATGAATTACGAGGGACACAAAAAATACGTAGTGTAGTTGAGCGAGTTAATTCTATTTAGCGGCATTTTTTTCTTTAGTAGAATAAATATTGATCTACATTTTATCGTTAAAATATTGAAGAGTGGAAATACCAAAGGGTGTAAGTGCCAAATTTTTCAATATTAAGTTATTGCATTAGAAACGTAATAAATACCATGCTGCATGCCATATCAAAAGTTACAAGTACCAAGCGAAAGCGTCTATTTTTTTATCTATTTTAAAAGATATTGTAAACATTTATTATTTTCAGTGTTATCCTCATTTATCTCTAAAGAATAATTTTGGCCACTTACTCCCTTTCGTATTTCCACTCTTTAATTGCTAATCCTGTCGAAACAACTTACATGTACAATATAGAATGTATAATAGGGGGGTTAATTAGATAAGTGTGTGTTCTAAAATGCTTGGGTTCTGAGATACAGAATGTAGAAGTTTTATTTTTATTTCAATTTTTTGCAAATAATTTCTGAAGTAACGTCTATAACTTGTAGAGGGCGCTACCTACATATTTTCTAACTGGTTTGAAGAGTAATAACTTTTTGTCCGTAACTGTATACAACTAACGAGTAAAAAAATATACATTTATAATATCTTTTACGTAAAAAAGTCTCTTGGTAAAAATCGCTATGAGTAATAGTTCTCGAGATATTTGGAATTGAACCTACCTGTCAAATGTTTTTGTGCCAAAAGTTGAACAGAGACTATTTTATCATCATTTTTTCGAAGAAAAATTTATGATTAATTTAAAAAATAAATAGTTTACAAATTGATCATTTCAGTCTAATTAATATCAACAACTCAACATATTTATTTTTTCTCAATAACGACATGTACTGACTATTTCTATTCTAAATATCTCGAGAACGGTTGTTCGTGGCGGTTTTTACCAAGAGACATTTTTTACGTAAAACATCGCGGAAATGTATATTTTTTCACTCTGTAGTTTTATACAGGTACGGATGAAAAGTTATTACTCCTCAAAATAGTTAAAACACATGTAAGTGGCGCCCTCTACAAACAGGAGTCATATTGACATCAAAATTAAATTTCTCATGTCAAAAAACCCTCAGTCGCCAATGTTAATCCAAATATTGACGTTACTTTAGAAATTATTTGGAAAAAATCGAAATAAAAATAAAATTTCTACACCCTGTATCTCCGAAACTAAGCAGTTTCGGACATACATTTATGCGAAATTTTTTACTTATTTTATCTGCAAAATATGCTACCGAAGTTTCCGGAATACACTTCGGACCACCCTGTATAAAATATTTTATACGATTTTTATTAATAATCTAATATTTATTATGTTTTTATTTTCAGGATCAGTATATCCACTGGAAGCTGCCCTTAAAAATGGTGGATCGAGGGACCAACCGACCACAGCTACCCTGACTATTACTCCGACCAAAGAAGATGACGAAGCTATCTTCAGATGCGAAGTCTGGAACAGAGCTTTACCCAAAGATAAACCCTTAACCTCCACAGTCACCTTAAGCGTCCAATGTGAGTATTTTTTTATTACAACACAAAAAAACTACATAAAGTACCCCCTTACAATATTACATATATATATTGATTTATAATATATTTTTAGTTTACCAGCAGCATTCACAATTTAGCTAGACAATAAAAAATAGATGATCCTAATAATCTTATGGTTATTTTACAATTATTGATATTACACTAATGTTTTGTTTGTTTTCAAACACTGTGCACCTAGTATGTTTTTTAGCCGACCATACCAACAGGTATGGTAGGCTATTAAGATCGGCAAAAAAAGTTTTTTTAATTTCACTCAAAATGAGTTATTTAGGTCATAAATGACCTAAATATAAAATATTTTCATGGTCTATAACTGGACATATCTGTCTGTAACACGATAACTCAAAAACCGCCAAACCGATTTTAACCAAATTTGGCACAAAAATACTGTCGCACCCGAGAATCTGGACATTAGTTTTTGGTGGGGGTGGGGGGTTGGTAAGAGGGTATGGGAGGGGATTAAAAATTTAAAAAGATCGTAACTCCAACATTACAGTAGCTAGCGAAACGCCGGTTTTCAATTTAAGATTAGGAATAATATTTGCAACAAAATTTGTAATAACATCAAAATCAGTCAAAGTCGTAGTTTTTGAGATAAAAAAAATCAAGTATGGGCAGCTATATGTGCCTCCCGGCGCCAATTTAAAAAAAAATTCGGTTTACATGATACTAGATAACTAAAATTCATGTTTTTTTTTGGCAAAGATGCAGTTAGCAGTAAAATCGCTACAGCGTTTACAAATTTTCTTATATATTTAACATAAAACAACTGTTTTTTTTGGAAATTTGGAAAAGTATAAACGGGGTTAGCCATTTTAGAACAAGCAAAATTTTTTATGAAGTAATACACAAGTTTTTCCTCTTGTAAAAACAATTGCTGCGTATGCAATGCAACTGTATACCAAGGAAAAAATACTTTAATGGGAAATATGCCTGTTTTGAAGCCTTATCCTTTCATCTACTACATAATGGTTTATTTAAAATAATAGATTCCAAGAACGGAAAAAGAAAATAAGAAGTCGGAGCCGCAATTATTTTTAATTGAGCCGATAAAATTTTCATGATTTCCAAACCGTCAATAATTATTCCCCGATCCAAAAGCTATATTCCGTGGTCTTTTTATCAGGTCGACTTTCCTAGGCCCTTAAATATTTTACGGTATTAATAATCAATCATGCCGCTTATATACCTTCGGCGTTGGCTTTTGTAAGAACATAATCGAGCTTTATTTTACGAAAATGGCTTGAGAAAGTCGACTGTTGTGCCTGTAGTAAAAACGAGGTTTTACCTAACATGTTTTTTTTTATCCGGTTATTAAATATTGTGTAATATGTTCTGATATTCGATACATTGTTCAAATTTCAATTGAAAGTTTGACGTCGATTTATAGTTAGAGTCATATTGTCTTGAAAAGCCTTGGTTTAAATATTCTCAATATTTCATTTACAAACACCTATGTGTGTTATAACGAAGTTTTAAAGTGCATTTATTAACCTAAAGTTTGCTATCTTATTTTAGGAGAGTTCTATGTAAATAATTATACATCGTAATAGAGACATTATCAATTAATAGTTATTTTTTGTACAAGACGATAATGCAATTTTATCGTCGTGTATAAAACAATATTTCTTTCCATAGCGAATTAAGTTTTAAAGAATATTCAGAAATTACTATTTCAAGGAATTTATTACGTGTAGAAAAAATATTGTGCTGGGTTTGCGTTGGTTTCTATGTAATTTGACAAATAAATATAGCTGTCTCTTTGGTTGTCAGTTTTGAGTCAATATTTTTTAATTCTCTTTCGTGTCGATTGCTGATTGAATTGGTGCCAGAAATGGCTAAAAACGAAATAAGTAAATTACTAACAGATATTCAGGCTGAGGCGACAAACGCCATATCCAAACTACTTCCATTTAAATCCCGAATAACTTATGAAGAGGAATACAAAAATTTCAAAAATGGAAGCAATTAAAAAACGTGCGAGAAGAAATAAAATTTTTAACCTATCCTCGCTGTTAAAGTATCATTTAATATATAATATGATATCATTCAATTTTAACAGTTGCTATGGAAAAAATTACTACTAATCAGTACAAATAAATAAAAAAACAAAGAATTGATAAAATAGGTCTTTTCATTATAAGAGAATAATTTCCTTGCATGTAATTATTTAATATCGCCTTATAATAGCCTGTAATAAATATGTTTTTCTTTGATATATATTTAATGTCATATTTGAAAAACAATATTTGTTAAATGTTGTAGTTCACGGGCTTAGAATCGATTTTCCTGAATAATTTAGAAGAGGAATACTACAAATAGATATGAGGAGATACAATGTTAGTTTCAAACTAAATTTACTCTATGGAATAATTAAAACAAGACAGTCTTAATATTTTTTTACATCATAATTTTAATGAGAAAAATGCCAAACATGTAATTAAACTTAAATATCTAAAAATAATTATTAATTCATAAATTACACTACTTGTTTATTAAACGATAGGTTTTGATAATTGTTGCATGGCCTATAATTATGATTGATAGTCAATATATATCATTTTCTAGATAAACGAATATATAAAACCGTAAAAAACATTTAAATATAACCTGTGTGTTTGCGTATCAGATACAGATAAATTATGCAAGGTCTACAGATTTGATCATCGAAACTGCGTGGTCTGGATTTTAACGTGTAAGACAGTAATGTAGATAGCTTAATGGAAAATCAAATGTATTAAAAAGACATAAAAGTTGGGTTGATACATTTCTTATATGCGGTATTACCATATTTTGCATCAATATTCAAATCGCACTAGTAGGCGTTTATGAAAAATGTTGCATCTAGGGTCTATTAGTTACTCATTTTACTACAGCTGTAACAATAGTATAAACGAAGTTTTTAAAATGCAACACTGTAGCCGTTGTTTATTCCACTGTTTATTTTGTCTCTCTGTTTGTCAACCGGTCATTTATATTTATCTCTGTCGCATGCATTGAAATACAGACCACGCAGATGAAGTGACCAGATCTAGTATATGCGATTAAAATAAATCTCAATATTGAAATAAAATAAGTAATAATAAGATAATAACTAGATTATATTAATAGTTAAAAATATTTTGTTTAGGTTAATAAGCATACCGGGTGGTGTATCGTAGTTGGAAACTTAGGGAGTCTGAACTGTCTAAATAGTTTTTATTTTTTTTATAAGTAAATAGATATTAATAGATTTTTACGGAGTTGATACGATACGTTGATACTATGTTTGCAACGGCAATGCACCACATGATATATTATTTATCTTTATTATACAGGGTGAGTCTTAAATATGTACAAATATTTTTAGGGCTGGTTTATGATCTCGAATAACTGTAAAAAATATTTTCATTTTACCGTTTTTGAAATAAGTCCAAAAAAAACGTGAAAAAATGAGATTTGGTATGTTAGTATATGACATAAATTAGGATTGATTGATGTATTCAATTGTGTTCGGTCACTTCCTGTTTCATCGGGAATGATTACAACTTCTGATTTTTTTTTAAATGCACCCTCGGTATTTTTTTACTTTATTCGATAGAAAAAGACACTCTGAATAGAATGACTATGAATATCATATGTCAACTTTTGATATCTTTTCTTAGAAAAAAATCGTATATTAAATTTCAATCTAGAGTGCCATCGCTGTAAATACTAATTTTTAATCAAGGAGCCAGATTTCGTTTTTTTTTATCTGAAAAATTAAGTAAGTTATATGAGTGAACCAATTTTGAAACACACCCGGTATAGTAGTTACCTAGCAACTTTACGTATTTTTGACTTAATACATCTTTATTAATCTTTTTCTGCTGAAATAAATACTGAAAAATTCTACTGTTCATACTTGATCGAAATATGATACAAACAAGACGCCATATATAAAGCAACTACTTGCCTTAATTTAGAGTAAAATAAATTTAGAGCGTACACAGCTATCAGATAGTATAGATACTGGGAGTTATTATATTCACATACACAGGATGACGCTTAAATAAGTGCAAATAATATTTTCAGGGTTGGCAGATCTCGGTAAAAGAAACATATTTTCTCTTTGCCGTTTTCCAAAAAAAAACTCCCAAATAACCGAGTTATTTTACTTTGTAAAATTTCCAAAAAAAAACAATGGACCTTTTTCTGGGTTTTCTTTCTTGTATATTTAATCTACTACATATGTTGCCATATTATGAAAAAAATATGATTTTTTAAATAAAAACTAAAAAAACTTTAAAAAATTCAAAATTCAAAATTTTGATTTTTTTCCGTCAGATAAAAAACTCATAATCGTGTTTCTGGGGTCGAAATATACTATCCATAAAAATATTCTATATATAGCATAAGTTCTCTGTATCTGGTTTCACAATATCTGTAAATTTTTACAAGGAAAGTTAAGGGAGAATACTTTGAATACACACATTTTTCTATACTTATTTGGCAGTAATAGCAGACTCTATTTTTACATTCATTTATCGAAAAATGTTAAATATTGATGATTAATTATTAATAAATTAAGATATTCGAAGTCAACTAACGAACCTGATATATAAATTAACGAATGTTAACTGTACCCAGAATCTACTAATATTCAAATGATATATAAAATGCAAATATGGGTATTGCATAAAAAGAACAACCTTTTTGAAACAATCTCGTCTATTTGCACGGGTTCTTTAGACGAAAAACAACATTTTGTTTTTAGAATTCTGTCTCAGTTTTTTTTTCTAGTAATTCTGTCTGTGTTTTGCTGTTTTATAAGTCACAGAACTCAGTTTCAAATTTTTCACAATTTAAATGCTACAAGATAAAAATTATAAACGTGTAAAAACATCTCCACCATTTTAACCTTTTGGTAAACAGTAGAAAATTCTACTGTTTACCAAAAAAAACTTTTGTGAAAAATGTATTTCATCGAATTTATATGATAC